ATAATAATTCCTATCATTACAGGAAGCACGTATTGCATCCCGTTGGTGACCTGCGGCTCAAATTAAATACAACAAGGAGGAAAGATCAGGAAAAAGAAAGGGTAAAGGAAAGCGCAGAGGAAACAAGAAGAACGGGAAGGGGAGGCAGAGGAAGGAGAAGAGGAGGAGGAGGAGGAAGAGGAAGAGGAAGAGGAAGAGGAAGAGGAAGAGGAAGAGAAGGAATTTGAAGGTGAAGGAAACAGCTGCTTGTATACCTCAATCATAATGACCACCAGGGATACCTGGAATGAGTACAGGCAAGGAGCAAGTGAAGTCAGGAAGTCGCCAGGAAAGAACACAGAAGAGAGATGAGGGGACGAGGAGGAGGAGGAGGAGGAGGAGGAGGAGGAGGAGGAGGAGGAGGAGGCGATCGTGGGGCTCACCGTCATGCGAGTCACTCCAGCCAGCACAGCAGCAGCACCAACGATCGAGTAGATGGCAGGGTTGACGCACCTGAAGAGAAGATCATGAGGAAGAAGAATAGAAACGAGTGAGGCAAGTTGAAGGATTGAGGGACGAGGAAGAGAAGAGGGGAAAAGAGGAAGGGAGGGAGGGAGGGAGGGAGGGAGGGAGGGAGGGAGGGAGGGAGGGAGGGAGGGAGGGAGGGAGGGAGGGAGGGAGGGAGGAGAGCACACGTTGATGTATGCGAGCAGTCTTGGAAGACTCCAACGTCGCCGAGATGTCGATGAAGAGCCTGCGAGACGTGTCAGGCTGAGGCAGCAGGAGCAGCTGACTCAAGACCTCGAGCGCGAACCCAACGGCCCTGCCCATGAGCGCGCCTGAACCACGAGGATCAGATGGACACAAAAAACGACCGGAACGAGAGAAGTGGTGGTGGTGGTGGTAGTGGAGGAGGAGGAGGAGGAGGAGGAGGAGGAGGAGGAGGAGGAGGAGGAGGAGGAGGAGTCTTGTGCTGACATGCTAGCAGAGAAAGATGAAGGAACAAGTCTGGAGTGGTTTTCAGCTGGTAATGCGGCATGCTCAGCCTCTTCCTTTCTTTGATTCGACGCCCTCCACCACCACCTTCTCCTCCTCCTCCTCCTCATCATCATCATCATCATCATCATCATCATCTCCATCATTATCATCATCATCATTCTTCCTGCTTCTACTCACCCTTGCAGTATCATCGTCCACTTGCCCTCTGACCTGCCTCCCTCTTCCTTCCCGCCCTGACGCTTTCCAAGGCTTGCGAGGGTCTCTACATCGGGGGAGTTGTCATCGCATGCCGGGACGGAGTGCTGGAGGAAGTAAGTCGAGACAGGAGGCATGAGAAGGGGGGGGGAGAGGGAGAATGCATGCGTTGAAGGAGGTGGTGGTGATAAGAGAGGAGGAGGAGGAGGAGGTGGTGGTGATAAGAGAGGAGGAGGAGGAGGTGGTGGTGGTGGTGGTGAGAGCGGAGGAGGAGGGTGTGTGCGTGCGTGCGTGTTCAAGGAGGAGGAAAGGAGGGGAGGGGTGGGGGTGGGGGGGAGAAAAGCCTTGACATGACCTCTGTAGGCCGGAGTTACGCACATTCTTAACGTCACACCCAACGAAGTGAGTGGGAGAGCGACGAAGGGAGGAAGAGGAGAAGCAGGAAGAGCAGGAGGGGAGGGGGAGGAGGACAGAGATGTTTCTTTGATGTCTGTTGATCTCAGAAAAATTTCTTTCCTGATCGTTTCGTCTACAAGAGAATTGCTGTCGACGACGATAGCAAGGTGATATCGACTTGTCGTGAGGAGAATGCAGAGAAGCTTGTGGGAGAGGAGCAGGAGGAGGAGGAGCACGGAGGGAGGGAGGGAGGGAGGTAGGAGGAGCAGGAAGGAAGAAAGGGGAGGAGGAGGAGGAGGAAGTTGTGGTGATTGAGAGAGCTGTTGCTCATGATATCGCAGGCGAAGTTAGACAAACACTTCAACGAGTGCTACTCTTTCATCAACAATGCAATCCAGGTAGCCAAGATTCTCCACCTCCTCACATCCTGCCGCTCCCGTTCACTCCTTCCTCCTCCTCTTCCCTTCAGTCCTCCCCTGAACGCTCTTCGCTCCTGTCTCCGTCTTCTCTCCCCCTATCCTCCTCTTCTCTCCTCCTCTTCTCTCCTCCTCTTCTCTCCTCCTCTGCTCTCCTCACTTAACCTCAGGGAGGCGGGAAGGTCTTCACGCACTGCAGCGCGGGAGTTTCACGATCTTCTACTGTTGTCATCTACTTCCTCATGCGATCCTATAAGGTTTCCTCCTCCTCCTCCTCCTCCTCCTCCTCCTCCTCCTCCTCCTCCTCCTTTTCTTTCCCTTCTCCTCCACTGTTTCCCTCAGCTCTACACCGACTGCCAGTGACTGTTACCTAGCTCTCCCTTAAAGAAGCCTATCGACAACTGAAGGTGAAGAGAGGGGGAGGGGAGGGGAGGGGAGGGGAGGGACGGAGACG